TCGAGTGCAACTCTCAACGGAACACGTTCCCACCCAAGCTTCGCCATGGATGCTCGAAAACATGAGCAGACAATGTTTAAACAGCCCTGCGTGGGCTGTCCGAGCATTCTTGGAGATTCCGTGGGGATTCACAGGGGGCATCAGGTATTTGGGAGGTTTCAGGGGGGTCCCAGGGTGTGTCTCTTGCGTATTTCGGAAGGCGCCTTCGCCCATTTCAGTTGTGTGTGTGGGCCACATTGCGGCCTGCCGCCCATTCCCGCTCTTGGGACGCTCTTGGGCCCTCTTGTGGTCCTCCAGGAGCCTTGTTGAAGGGCTCTTGAGGGGCTCTTGGGGGTATTCGGTGCCCTCTTGGAGCCCTTCTGGTCTCCTCTTCGGAGCTATCATAGGCGATATTGGCGCTATGTTGCGACCTCAGAGGCCTATCGTAAGCGAAACGGCGAGAGAGCCGAACTGGGGCAACACACCGAAGGTGCTCGAAGGATTTGGGCCCCTTGAGAGCTTACCGGGGCCTCTTGAGGGCCATCTTGGGCCAGCTTGGGCCACCTTCATTGGGGCTACCTCGGAGCGGTCTGGGGGCCATCTTGGGGTCGTCTCCTCGCTCTTTGGCCCTCTCGGGTCCTTCTTGTGGCCCTCTTGGGGCTCCACTGACTTTCTCGAGGGTCTCCGGGGTCGTCGTGGAGCCTCTTCTTGGCTCCGAACCTCTCTTGGGTGGTCTCGGAGCCATCTGGAGGCCTCAGAAGCCCCTCGGAAACAGCACGGCGAGAGGGCCAATCTGTTGCGATCTCACCATCGGTGTTTGTGAATGATTTGGGCCACCTGGGGCCCTCCGAGGAGAGGTTGTGCTGTTCTCTTGGGCCGCCGTGGGGTGAGTTGGGCTGGCTTGGACCATCGTGGGCAAACATGGTGTCTGACACGTGTTGGCTTGCGCTTTGAGGGGGGCTTCTTGGGGGGAGGGCATTCGCCCACCACCGGGGGGCGTCCGCCCGCTCTTGGTGGGGAGCCTCGAGACGGGTGTCAATGCAAACGGGGGTCAGCCAGGGCACCAGATCCTGCAGGATCCTGCGAAGACCCCCTCTGGCTGACCCGGGTCAGCGAGCCGCTCGTGGCCGCGAGGCGGCCGCGCATGTTGGCTGACCCGGGTTTGCGAAGATCTGCGTTGCAGTTGTTTTTTTTCCTGCATTGCAGTTTTTGGTTTCCTGCTGACCCGTGTCTGGATTGACCCGGGTCAGAAGATCCCCGACTTGGGGCCCAGTTCGGTCCACAGACCCTTCAGGGGCGCCTTCGGTCGTGCGGTAGTGATAAGTTAGCCAGCGTGGAGCTCAAACAGTGAGGTCTTCAAAGCCCCTGCTGCGTAGTGCATGTGGCGCAGCGAGTGCGCTGCAAGCCAAGCGTTGCAATGCATGCGGTGCAGCGTCTGTGACACAGTGCAGTGCAAAGCAACGCACAGCAGGGCAGTGCAACGCACGTAAGCCAGTGCACGTCAATGTAAACGCGATAAGATCAGTCTTTAGTTTTTCGTATTGCTGGTTTCCCTCGGCGGGGAACAAACTCGTCCCTCCTCCCGCTGCTTCTCCTCCTCCGCCTCCTCCTTCCCCCTCCCTTCTCGTCGTCGTCGTCGCGGCCGAGATTGGTCTCCCTCTATTGTTGGGAGGGCTTGGTAATATTGGGGAGTTCTTTTTCCTAGGGAATAATATATTGTGGGCCACCCTGCACGCGAGAACATGTGTGAGTATCTTCTCATAAGGATGGCAATCGAAATCAGTGGTTGAGTCGTAATCGTCGTCACCCTCGTCGTCGCGGCGGAGATTCGTTTCCCGCTGATGTTCGCCGCGCTGGATAATATTAGGGGACTAGTGCTCTCTGGGCTACCCTGGACGACGGAGGACTTCTGAGAACGTTTGTAAGAGGATTGCACTATAGATCGGCACATTCTTCGCCGAAGACGTTGCTCACAATGTCATCGTTCATTTCGTCGTCGTCGCCGTTGTTGTGCGGCGGGTGCCGCGGAGAAACCATTGTTTTCCACTGCTACAGGGTCCCAGTCCGTCAATAAGGGCGTCGAAAAGATAGCTCGTGTCCATACGTGGGGGGCTCCAAAATCGTATCGAGGTGTAATGCAACGCAAAGCAGGACAACGCAATGCAAGGTAACGCAGAGCAATGCAAAACAACGCGAAACACTGCAAGGCAATGCGAAGCCAAGGCGGCGGGCGGCGACGGCGCGGCGACGGGGCGGCGACGGCGGCCACATAGCCGCCAGACCGACGCGCTGGCCCACACGACGATCGGCGGCGGGGCGGCGACGGCGGCCACAGCCGCCAGATCGCCGCGCAGGTCCAGACGACGGGAGGCGACGGGGCGGCGACGGGGCGGCGACGGCGGCCACAGCGCCACCAGACCGACGCGCAAGCCCAGTTCCTTAGACCAGAAGTATGGGCACCTAAGTGCAAGCACTGCCTGGGGAATAAGCACGGTGTTTGTTTATCCACATGCCAGTCATATTACGCAAGCTACTTGTTTGGAGGATTTACCGCGCAGTTGGCCCGCGGGGTCTGCGAATGTATGTGCAGTCTTGCATGGCCATACGTATCCAAAGCGAGTGTCCACGTAGTCATCGTAAGTCTGCGTATTACTTGGCTTTTATGGATGGGTCGGGTTCCTCGGGGGAATTCGACTACCCAATGTGCCGCACTGGCAGTAGCTCGTGAGCACGTGTCGTAGGTAGCCGTTTAGGTAGCCGCGTCGCTGGAGTAGCCCAGTTGCTTCCAATCGGACCGAGAAACAGGAGGAGAAGGATTTCAAGGGTGTCCGCAGTTCAGGCAGTTGTTGGGCCGCTTTTGTGTCGCTGCGCCCTTCTAGCCTGCTTGCGGCCTGTCGGTTTCGCTGTCGGTTCGGTGGGTGTTCGGTTGTGTTGTCGCCATGGACGGCATCCGGGTGTTGCCAGAAGTGCCCCTGGCCCACGGTGCCCCTAGGATTTCCAAGGAGGCCACCACGGTTCCCAGAGCACCCCTCACGAGGCCCAGAGGGCCCAAGGGTTTCCAGAATTGAGCGAAAACCTTGGGGCAACTTGGGCCAGGGGCACCTCAGGCAACCCCAGAGGTTTTGGACCGAGAGGGCCGAAGAGGTGTTTCCTCCTCGTTTTCTCCTCCTCTCCCTCCCCCTCCTCCCCCTCCTCCTCCTCCTCCTCCTCCTCCTCCTCCTCCTCCTCCTCCTCCTCCTCCCCCTCCTCCTCCTCCTCCTCCTCCTCCTCCTCCTCCTCCTCCTCCTCCTCCTCCTCCTCCTCCTCCTCCCTCTCCTCCTCCTCCTCCTCCTCCTGCTCTGTATTGTCCAGGATGGTATGGCGCGGGGGCGCGGCGGCGTGGCCGCGCGTGCATCTCTTCTACACATCAGAGGAGGGAAAGGTCTCCACGCAGTTAAGCCAGGCATGTCCCACTACAGGAGGAATGTTCAAATATGGTCAAGAAATAATGTGGGGACGACGTTTCTCCTGTGTTTGACTGTTTTGGGGTATTGTTTGGTTATGTGTATTCTTCGTCCAAGATCCCCCTGTAGGAGGACATGCCCGACCTAATGCAACGGTCTTGGAAGGCCACCGTAGAGTTTTCGGACAAGGTTGGCCAGCGAGAGTCTCTAAGGATGGGCCGAAGGGGCAAGGATGCAAGGGTAACCTTGGGAAGGTCGCCCATCCCTACTATTCTGGTTGACTGTACCGCTACCTCCTCACGGTGCTTCCTTTTTGGCCTCCTGGGAGGCCATCGTCGCCACCGTCGGACTCGCCTCGAGATGCTGGTCAGAACGCACCCCAGGGGAGGTCTGAGGAGCAGCAGCATCGCGCAGGTGGCCGCGCTGGAATCGAGGGAACGCTAACATTCGACTAAGGGATCGACTACGGAAGTTATCTACCCCAAAAATGGTTTGTTCGTCGAATCCGCGAAACATGCGTACAATGCTCGTAGATCTACGATTGCTTGTACATCCGACAAGAAAATGCAGATTTGGGTAAATCAATGTTGTAGACGATCCCCTACTCGAAACGTGGAGTAAGGCGCGTGGATCAGCGACGTGTCCCGATTCCACGCAGAGTCGGCGCGCGCGCTGTCGCCAAATGAGGCGGCACTGGCCTCACGTGTCGGGGGTATCTGCCCAGACCATATGGGGACTGGCAGCCACTGATTCCGCTCGTGGCCCGCTGTTGTACTCTGTTGGAGTTGTCTTGGGCCTCTCCAGGGGCGCTCTTGGGACTCTTCGGAGCCCTCTTTGGAGCCCTTCCAGTGCCCACTTGGAGACGAGGGCGAGGGCAAGGGCGGCGGTGGCGGCGGCCGGGACGACGATGACGACGCCGACGCCGACGCCGATGCCGACGCTGTCGCCGACGCCGCCGACGCCACCGACGCCGCAGCCGCCGCCGACGACGACGCCGACGCCGACGACGCCGCCGACGACGCCGCCGCCGCTGACGACGACGGCGCCCTCTTTGGAGCCCTTCCCGTCCCCACTTGGAGGCAAGGGCGAGGGTGAGGGCGGCGGGCGCCGACGCCGACGCCGACGCCGACGACGCCGAGCCCGACGCAGCCCGGCGTCGACGACGACGCCGACGACGCCGACGCCGACGCCGACGACGCCGCCGCCGACGACGCCGCCGCCGCTGACGACGACGGCGCCCTCTTTGGAGCCCTTCCAGTCCCCACTTGGAGGCAAGGGCGAGGGTGAGGGCGGCGGGCGCCGACGCCGACGCCGACGCCGACGACGCCGAGCCCGACGCAGCCCGGCGTCGACGACGACGCCGACGACGCCGACGACGACGCCGCCGACGACGACGGCGATGACCCCTCTTTGGATCCATCATCGTATCGCATTCCACTTGGAGGCGAGGGCGAGGGCGCCGGCGGCGGCGCCGACGCCGACGCCGACGCCGACGCCGCCGCCGACGACGACGACGCCGGCGCCGACGACGACGGCGGTCGGCCGTCGACCACCCGAGCGTGCTGGCTGCGCGCCCAGACGCCGTCTCCCTCGCGGCGGACGGGGCGCAGCCGCCGCATCATCGCCAGCACGGTCTCCGCGGAGGACGCCGGGCCCCGGCGAGGGGCCGCGATGGGACGGCCAAGCAGGGGCGAAGCGTCTTGGTTTGCAGACAGGCTGAAGTCGGGCCTGTCCCCCTACAGGGGGATGTTCGACGAAAAATAAAAGATACCCCCAAAATAGGCAAAACATAGTGCAAAAGTAGTCTGGGGACTATTTTTTGAGTTTTGTTTGACCCTTTTGAAGCATTTTTTGAGTATTTTTTATTTTTCGTCGAACATCCTCTTGTAGGGGGACACGCCCGACTTAAAGATAGGCCCACCAAAGAATGTTTTAAGAGCCTCTTGTGGTTTGCACGACATGTCCTCGGCACAGTTCTGGCTGAGTGTGTCTTGTTTTGGTGCATCGGGTTTGGGGTTCTACGAACATGTCGTGGTAGGCCTACAGGAATGTGGGGGCGACCGGTCGCTGCTCAAGACGGACGGTCGACGATCCAGGAGTCGACTCCGTGCTGGGAGTCTCGAGATCCTGGCGACACGAGATCGGGAGAGGGCCCCCCTCGCCAGATCTCGCCATCCTGGAGTCGACTCCTGGCCGTCGCCCAGAGAGGGCCCGCATCATCGCCAGCACGGGCCCCGAGTCGGAGGCGACGATGGCGGCGATTCTCGGGACAATCGAAGTGGCCACGGACAGAATCCCAGACATCGGGCGTCTCGAAAGAAGCGAGACGCAGATTTGTCATGGTTTTCGGTCTCTCGGGGCCCCTGTCGGAGCTCAGGACCGTCAAAAACGACTCGGGATGAAAAACTGGTCCCGGGGAAGTAGTCGAGTGGTCGGGGGCTCGTGTTTCAAAAAATCGAGACGCCGGATGTCTGGGATGGGTACAAACACCGGCAGCAGTTCTTATTCTTTCTGGACAGTAGTCGCTGTCGGCGTTGTTGCGGACTTTGTCCATTTGAGACAGGATGCCGCCTGCCCAACAGCGGTCGCTGTGGCTTTTGAACAACACTTGTTGTTGGGCATCGTACCCGTTGTTTGCGTACCCATTTTGGGCGTCCGACAAAAGGATCGGAGGCGACGATGGGGGCGAATAGCCCAGGGGTGGGCATTGCACGTATTCGCCCGGGAGCCTCGCCGAAGGTCGGGAAAAGTAGAAAGGGTCCTATGCGTGTGTCTTTGGAGCCCCTCGAGACACGCTCGCGCCCAACAGCCTCGCCCTCGAGGCCCAAGGGGCTGGGAGCAGGCGGCGCCGCCGGAGGGGCACCAGCGCCGATCCGAGAAATCCGCGCGCACCTCCGAGTTTCTATGTTTATGCCACTTGTTGTTCCCCCGGGTATACTGAGTGGCTTGGCATCGCTCGGACGTGCGCATTTTCTTTCTCGACGAGGACCTTCGAGGAGCATCCTCGACCATCTGGCGAAAAAACCACGCACGAAACCGAAGACAGCACAGGGAGTGGACGTCCGAGCGATGGCCAGGTGGTGTCTCTCAGCGAGACGCTCGCGCCCAAAAGCCTCGCCCTCGGGGCCCCAGGGGGCTGGGAGCAGGCGGCGGCGGGGCACACGACGCCGGGGGCGGCCTGGACGCGTGCCCCGGGGCTTTGGACCGCGGGCGCTGTCCACGGGCCCGCCGCCGCTCCCCAGGCGGCGCCTCGCCGCCCCCGGGCCGAGGCTTCCCCTCCCCTTTGTGCCTGCAGGGGCCCCTCCCTGCTCGGCCTCCTCCTCCTCCCTCCCCCCCCCTCCTCCTCCCTCCTCCCTCCTCCTCCCTCCTCCCTCCTCCTCCTCCCCTCCCCCCTCCTCCTCCTCCTCCCTACACCCCCCCCCCTCCTCCTCCCTCCCCTCCTCCCCCTCCCCTCCTCCTCCTTCCTCCCCCTCCTCCTCCCCCTCCCTCCCTCCCTCCCCTCCCCCCCCCTCCTCCTCCTCCTCCTCCTCCTCCTCCCTCCTCCTCCTCCTCCTCCTCCTCCTCCTCCTCCTCCTCCTCCTCCTCCTCCTCCTCCTCCTCCTCCTCCTCCTCCTCCTCCTCCTCCTCCTCTCCTCTCCTCCTCCTCCTCCTCCTCCTCCTCCTCCTCCTCCTCCTCTCCTCCTCCTCCTCCTCCTCCCTCCTCCCTCCCCTCCCTCCTCCTCCTCCTCCTCTCTCCTCCTCCTCCTCCCCCTCCTCCTCCTCCTCCTCCTCCTCCTCCTCCTCCTCCTCCTCTCCCTCCCTCCTCCTCCTCTCCTCCTCCTCCTCTTCCTCCTCCTCCTCCACTCCTCCTCCTCCTCTCCTCCTCCTCCTCCTCCTCCTCTTCCTCCTCCTCCTCCTCCTCCTCCTCCTCCTCCTCCTCCTCCTCCTCCCTCCTCCCCCTCCTCCTCCTCCTCCTCCTCCTCCTTCCTCCCTCCTCCTCCTCCTCCTCCTCCTCCTCCTCCTCCTCCTCTCCTCCTCCTCCCTCCTCCTCCTCCTCCCTCCTCCTCCTCCTCCTCCTCCTCCTCCTCCTCCTCTCCTCCTCCTCCTCCTCCTCCTCCTCCAGTCGACCCGCAGAGTAAGGACAGGCGTCCCTCCCAAGGGTACCCTTGCATCCTTGCCTCCCGGGTCCATCTTTGGTCACTCTCGTGGACCGCGCCCCGCTCGGAGAGCTTCGAAACGGGCGTCCAAGGGCCTTGCATCCTTTTCGCGATCCTTACTCTGCGGGTTGACTGCATGCCTGCCCCCCCCCCCCCATCGTTGCCCCTCACGAGTGGTGCTTCTCGGCGCCCCTCGTGGCCCCGCTCGCCGCCCGCCAGGGTCCGCCCGCCCGACCCTTCCCGCCCCGCCCGCTGGGGTCCGCCCGGCCAGTCCCGCCCGTTGGGCTACGCGCGTGCCCCCTCGATGAGGCATCCTACTTTCGCGTCGGGCCCGCCCGACCCGCCCCGACCCGCCGGCCGGGGTCCGCCCGTGCAGCCCGACGTGTCCCGCCCGCGAGGAGCGCGCTCGCGCCCGAGCGGCGCTGTCGCAGCCCAGGAGTTGCGAGCAGGCAGCGGGTTGGACACGGCGTCGTGGGCCTCGGGGGGCAAGGCTCGGGAGGGGCTCCCTGGATCCAGATGTTTGAGTCGAGCATGTCCCTCCACGGGAGGAATCTCCCAAAGTGGCCCCAGCATAGTCTGGGGACGATGCTTCGATTCTACATGCTTGAGTCTTTTGAGTATGGCTTATGTTTCTTGATATGTTCTCAGTACTTTTGAATATGTTTTATGTGTTTTCAAAATCCGCATGTAGGAGGACATGCCCGACCTAATTCTAGATGGGGGAATTTCTTCGTGGCCAGAAGAGCCACTTGGTTCCTTGTTCGGTGCCCCTTTACGGTCGAACGATGGCCGTAGGGATATCTTGAGGCCATCCTGGGGCCTGCCACTCATTGGCCCCCACGCCTGTGGAGCCCTCTGTGGGCTCTCTTGTGGGATCTTGGCGCTCACTTCGAGCTCCTCGAGGGTTTCTCTGGGTTCTCGTTGGGCCGCCTCGGAGCTTGAAGCGCCTATTACAGCCCGCAAGGGCGAGAACGCCATGACCATTTAAAAAACGTACGTAGTTGTTTTCAGTGATTCTGGCTTGCTGGGAGCCACCGATGAGAGGTCCTTCAGCCAGATTGAGCCACAGTTGCAGTCCACTAGGCTGTATAGGGCCAACTTGGGCCACCTTGGGGCCACACTGGGGCCTTGTGGACAGAACTGGAAAGCAACGGATGGGTCGGGTCTCTGGCCCGCCCTCTCGGGCCGCGTTTGGAGCTCCGCGCGGACTTCTTGGATCGGCGCTGGACCCCGCTGGCGGCGCCTCCGGCGCCGCCCCTCGCCAGGGAGGGAGGCCCATCGCCGACCTTAGTAATTCCGCGCGGGCCGTCTCTTCCTCCTCCTCCTCCTCCTCCTCCTCCTCCTCCTCCTTCTCCTTCCCTCCCCCTCCTCCTCCTTCTCCTCCTCCTCCTCCTCCTCCTGCTCCCTCCTCCTTCTCCTCCTTCCCCTCCCCCCCCTCCTCCTCCTCCTCCTCCTCCTCCTCCTCCTGCTCCTCCTCCTCCTCCTCCTCTTCCTCCTCCTCCTCCTCCCTCCCAAGATCGGGGGGTTTTAGAGGAAGGGTTCGTAACCCGATTGTTTGACCATGTCCGCCCCTGAGCCCGATTCTCCCGAGCGTGTTCTTTCGACCCTGGGCGGAGAAGGCCATCGCTACCACACCGTCGTGAAGCCACATGCCCGCAGGCTCCCTGGGAGGTGGGATTGGAGAGCTCCTGTTCTGTGGGCAGCGCAGACACTGAGCAAGACGCGTGGATCAGCGACGGACTTGGCTTCCATACAGTCCGACGCGGACCGTCGCCGAATAAGGCGGTGCTTGCTCCACGTCTGGGGGGACCCCCCAGGCGCCCGCGTGTCTGACCCACGGATCCGTCATCCATGTTAGTGCGTGTTTGGGGGCGGCGACGACGACGACGTCAACGACGACGATTGAGGACAGGCCAGACGGCAGACGGCGACGGCGAAGGCGACGACGGCGACGACGACGGCGACAGCGATGGCGACGACTGAGGCGACGACTGAGGCGACGACGACGACGACGACGACGACGACGACGACGACGACGACGACGACGACGACGACGGCTTCGACGACGAGGACGAGGACAAACCAGACAACAGACGCAACGACGACGACGACGACGACGACGACGACGACGACGGCGACGACGGCGACGGCGACGGCGACCGGCGACGGCGACGACCTGCCCCTCGCCACGCAGGCGGCCGACCTGGGCGGCAGAGGCGGCGGGTTCTCCGAGGCGGGCGGCCCCGCGCGTCTCTCCCCTGGGGCCTGGGGGGGGGGGGGGTAGGCCATCGGTGAGAAGGCGAAAACCCACCCCCACCCCAAAGAATTAGCAGAATACGAATAGTGTTTCGGCTCCAGCGCTGATAGCAGACCGATTTCAGGCGTCTAGATACTTTAAACTAGCGCTCATGATGATTGCCTTCCGATTGCTGTGCCGAACAGCTCTGTAGCTCATCTGCGGCTCGAGTTAGTCCGAGAAAACCATCCAGTCCCGACTCCATCCCCGAACCCGCAAGTCAAGGAGTCGGGACTGGGGGTGGGCGTGGGTTTTCGGGGTCCAGGAGTGGAGAAAACCCACCCCCAAACGAAACTGATTTTTTGGGGTGGTCTCAGTGCGCAGGCGCGCCCTGCTGCGCGGTGGCACCCCCAGTCCCGGCCCCTTGAATCGCCAGCTCGGGGATGGGCGTCGGGATTGGGGGTGGGTGGGGGCTTTCGCCTTTGGAATCGGGGCGTGGTGGCGGGGCCTGCGCCTCCGCCGTTTGCCGGGATTCTGCAAAAGGGGTGTGTGTGTGTGTGCCCCAGAGGGTGTCTGTGAGTTCGATCGGCTGTTGCCCCCGAGCCGCCCAAAACAGATGCCCCCCAGCCGCCGGCAGCTCCCGAGGCTTGCCGACAGGTGGGGCATGCGGAGGGCATCTGTTTGCGGCAGTTCGGTGCTCCAACGGATGGAACTCTTGCCCCCTCTCAGGGTCACCCCCCCTTTGGTGCATCCCGAGTTTGGTTACTCGCCCACCCTCCTCCCTGGCCCCGATCGCCGCGCTCTGTGCGATCGTGGCGCCTTGCGCGCTTGTGCTTGGCCTCCTCGCGCCCCCCAAAAAGCCGCGCGCCAAAGGTCACTCTTGCCCAGGGCCGCACTTACGTGCAGCCGAGTCACTCCAGAAAAGTCGGGCGTCAGGGGTCGGCCCCCAGCCCGTTCTCACCCGGGGGGCCCGGGCGCTGTGCCTGGCCCTGGCTGCGGCTGCGGACCAGGGGTGGCCCTGGGGCTTTCTGGATTGGGCGTGCCACCGCACCACCTCCTCGTCCTTCTCGTCCTCCTCGTCCTCCTCGTTCTCCTCGTCCTCTTCGCCCTCGTCCTCCTCGTCCTCCCGATCATCATCGCCCTCGTTCTCCTCATCCTCCTGATCATCATCGCCCTCCTCGTCGCCATGGGCGTGCCCGCGTCGTACTCCTCGTCCTCCTCGTCCTCCTGATCATCATCGCCCTCCTCGTCGCCCTCCTCGCCCGGTTGACGTGGAGGTGAGATGGCTCGTCCTGTTGTTCTAATCCTGCCGTGTTTGTCGTGGACTGATCGGCAGTCTTCTTATTTGACCTCACCTCCTCGTTTTTTTCATCGTTCTCCTCCCTGCCCCTCCTCATCCTTCCTCCGCCCGAGGGAGGGGGGGGGCGAGAGTAAAGTCTCTCCCGCCTCTTGGGGACGGGGACGGGGGCGGGCTCGGGGTCTGGCGTCATGATGCGGCCCGCCGACTCGGGACTTGGCTGGCGCGGGGCCGGAGTCGCGCTCGCGCCAGAGGCCGTGAGCAGCGCAGAGCTGAGCACCACAGACGGCCCCTCCTTCCCTCGGAGGGCACCAGCTGTTCACCCACACCGACCCTGGCCAGGCTGATCCTGGGCACAGCATCGGCCCGGCCAGGCTCGTTGCAGGCCTACCTATTGTTGCGTCAATGTATACACGGATGTACCATGTGTGTATACTTGTATACATATATATATATATATATATATATATATATGTATATAGATATAGCTGGTGCTCTCATAGTTTCCTTCCCTGCCGCTGGGTATTTCCAGCTCTCGGCGGGCACGGGCTGGGCAGAGCCGCTCTGGCTCTCGCGGGAGGGCTTCTGGCCCCAGCATGGGCAAGGCGTCAGCGCCAGTTGGCAGCGCGCGGGAAGGTTGCAGAAGCGTGGCAGGAAAGGGCCACTTTCGCGCGGGATTGTGCAGGGAAGTGTCAGGACATCGCGACCTTCCTTGCATCGAACAAAATGCCCTTGACGATACCCATCAGAGTGCCACAGAAAACGGCGTCTCGGGGCAGGGTGGCTTGCGCGCGTGGGCGCTGGGCTCGGATGCCTTTTAGCAGAGAGGAACGGGCACATCGTCTGCTAGGGTGCTTCTTCCACGAGTCGTGAAGAGGGAGGGTGGAGAAGGGCGAGAGGATGCGGGGCGAAAAAGGAGGTGGGCAGGAGGGGTGGGGCGGGGTGGAGTGGTTGGAGGGACTGGACACAGATGGAGCAGGTGGAGGACGGTCGGCGAACGAGTGCGTCTCATTGGTTCCGCGGTCAGCCCCCCAGTGTGCCTGGGGCAGTTGGGGAAACATTGCCTTGCATCCTTGCGCAGGGAGCTGATTGACTGCGGGCGATCGCTGTGGTCTCGGGCTTCTGCGCGGGGGGTGCCGTGGAAGTGCTTGAAAGTCGCATGCCGCCACTCCCTAGACCGCCGCCACCATCCTCCGAGCCATCACCGCCACCGCCAAGAGCTGCTGTGGCTCAAGGTATGGTGCAAAGTAGTTATGCGGTGCACTCCTTGTTGCGCAGCAGCACGGAGTGAATGGGCTGCGCGGAGAGCGGCGTAGCTTGTGTGGCTCCAGTGTGTCGGCGGAGACCTAGCGGCGAAGGCTTGGAGTTGACGAACGTGACGCTCGAGAGGGAGAGCCTAAGTGATGCATTTGGTGCCCGCATCATCGACACCGAGAGCACCGAGATGGGCTTGATGATCGTGCGCGTCATTGCCGGAAGCCCGCTGAGCCGATGGAACGCGAGCAACCCGTCGAAGGCCGTGGCCCCGGGTGACTGCATCGCCGAGACGAACGGCCACACCGAGACGTGGCAGATCATGGAGGAGCTGGCCAAAGCCACGACCGTGGAGATGGTCGTTCGCCGCGCTCCGCCCGGCGCGACGGCCTTTGTCGAGCGCTGCAGCGTCACGGACGAGAGCCTGAGGGCGACCGCGCTCGTCCTGAGGCGCACCGTGCGGGCCGGCGACGTGCCCACGGACCAGTGCGCCATCTGCCTGGAGGGCGTGGACGTAGACGAGCGCATCGCAGGAGCCCGCCTCGAGGAAGAGGGAAAAAATAGTCCCCCGACTATTTTTGGACAATTTTTTATTATTTTGGGGGTATCTTTTATTTTTCGTCGAAAGTCCCCCTGTAGGGGGACACGCCCGACATAAATGTAGGGGGCCACATGCGAACCCTACCCCTGCCCCCCACGATTTCTGAGGGGGAGGGTGGGGTTCAATCCGTTCGGGAGCTCCCCAGCGAAGTGAACCGCACCCTCCCCCTCAGAAATCGTGGGGGGTAGGGGCAGGGTTCGCATGTGGCCCCCTACAGGGGCAACGCTGGTGGCGGAATGACTCGGGGGGGATGCAGTCCTGGAGGCCTCGCGCGGCGCGTGGTCAGTTCCGCAAGCTATGGGTCGACGTTTGCGCGGCGATGCTCCCACGTCGGTCCGACGTAATTCCGACGTAATCCGACGTGAACCCGACGTAAATCCGACGTAGATCGTAAATTGAATCTTAAGTTGCCGCGCGAGGCCTCCAGGATTGTCTTCATTAACTGATCGCCAGTGGGGGGCCTGGCAGTCCCCTCCGCCCAGAAGCGTGCGGATGCGCTGTCGGCAGCCCGCAGCGGATCTGTCGGAGGCGCCTCGTCGAGTCCAGATCGATGATTTCGCCCCCGGCTGAGCCGGTCCTCCCTCTCACGTGAAGTCGCGCGTGTCCCTCTACAGGAGGAATATTCGAAAAGAGTCGACAAATTGTCTGGGGACGAGTTTTGCAGACTATTCTTGGCTATGTTTCAGCATGTTTGGGCGTTTTTTTATCTTTCGTCCAAAATCCGCCTGTAGGGGGACATGCCCGACCTAATCCTTACGCTGCCCCTCAGGCACAAACGTAACCTTTCGGAGCTCCGCGCGGGCTTCTTCAGCCGGCGCCGCCAGGTGGTCTCAGCGCCGGTCCAGGGAGGAATCCGCGCGGGCCTCCGCATGGTTGATTATAATAATGCCGATTCTTATTTGTCTACTCCTGGGTTCCCCTGCCAACGCGCATGACCGCTTCCTTGCCCCTTTCTCCCGTCTCCGTCCGATCGGGTCAACGTAACTAAACCAGCGGGCCAAATCCAGATCCCAGGGTGAGGACGTGCGTCCTTGCATCTTCGGCTCATCCTTGGAAGATTCGGTTTGCCAGCTCTTCCAACTTGGGCATCCAAGGGCCTTGCTCTTGTGTTGCGCGTGCAAGTTGCCCGTTCTGGTGCAGTCGCCCTCCCCCGGCAAAGAAGACGTCTCCAGGACTCGAGTGCGGGCACGGGTTCCACCAGCGGTGCATACTGCGGTGGCTGGGGCGCCATGGTTCAGTCGGATGCCCGCTCTGCAGGGAGGGTATACGCTGGTCATAATCTCAGTGGTGTAGTCCCGCACCTCTCGGTTTCGACATCGACGTTGAATTGAGCGATATCGAAGTAAGTCACAGTTTGAAGGAATATGTGGTTAGAGCTCACTGTAAACGGCTTTGAACCAGAGTGGTTGGACTCAGCCTTCTGGACAGATGGTTCGCTACCCACACAACCACCATGTATCGCTTTATTTGTATCATCCTTTATCACGGTGACCTCCATTCGAATGCAGTATGATTCTCCTGGGCACCTTCCGCTCTGTTCTTGTTTCAGACTCAGTGTTTCGTTCGCGCTAGTGTCCACGTTTCAATGGGGACCTCACAAAGGTTTCTGGGCTCACAAACAAGTTTTTAGGAGTTAAGTTCCTTCTTCAGGATGCCAGCGTGTGATGTTTTCAAGCGGGCTGAGTTGTTCAGGGAGCCAGGGGAGATGAATTGCACAATTGCCGAGTTGGTGTGGAGCGGCAAGTGGCGAGCCTCGGTGTTTGCCCGCCGTGCCCGCCCAGGCAAATACCTCCTTTCTCTCTTCCTCGCTTGTCCCTTCTTCACGCATGCAGCCCGCTCGTTCCTCTTTCAGGCCACGGTCCATTGCATGAGTTTGCCTATCGCAGGTAGGTTCTTGTGGTGTTCCTGGTTGGCCTGTCGACCCTTTCATTCGCACAGCGGCCGAGGCCGAGTCCGGTGAAGTTCTGTGGTCGCGTTCTTTCTTCCTCTTCCCCCAACAATGTGTGTTTACACAGTTCGATTCCAGCTAAATGGATGTACTTGATCTGCACTCGTCCATAAGCCTATCAGTCTCAATTCTCTGACCGCGGTGCCTCACAGAGTGCAAGGGCGTTTGTCTGGAACTGAGTTTCAAGTGTCTCGAGTTGGAGGACGTACTGCGTGTCAGCCGATCCTGCATCAGACAAATCATCGCCACTATCACTACCGCTGCCTCCGTCTACACTTCAACGTATGTTCTCTATCACCTCAGCGGTGATACCCACCTGCACGTGCCCTATTCACGTCCTGCGTTTCGACACCTTGCAGTGAATGTTCGACTCTGTTTGCATGCTGATGATTCCCCCACCCAGGAGTCCATCTGGCTGCGTGAGTTAGGCACCATTTTCATGGCAGTGGCCGTCTAAGTCCGCAAGATCGCGGGCGCGTTTTACACTAGCTCTGCTAATTTCCTCTTATGGCCCTGGGCTATAAGGCAAGATGTGTGCTCGACGAAAAGCACAACAAAAGTTCAGATTATGGTCTGGCTGAGGTTCTCAAGGCTCAGTGCCAGAAAACACCGACTCCTTCATCGAAAATAGCATCCTTGCAGGTTCCAGCTATGGTCTGGCTCTGGTCTGGGGAAGGTCCGGCCGCTTATTGTTCCTGCGCGTTGTGTTCCTTCTTGTTTTAGACGCTAGTTCTGCCAAGCTCTGGTTATGATCCGGAGTTGGAAATCCGTCGGTGTCTTGAGACAATAGCAGCACCCACAGAAGGTCCAGCCATAGTCCGCCTACTGTCTGGGCATCTTTCCTAATACCGAAATGTCTGTTACAACCAAAGACACGGTACGGTGTTTAACGCAAGCAAGACTCTCCAAACTCTCCAAAGCGGAATCAGTGTTTATGAGTAAAGAAAACACTTATTTTAAGGATTGTCGAGCGCGTGAGTGCCGATTGAGAAATTCCCTGGCTGCTTCCCTGCCGAATCCCGATCAAACTGAATATATATATATATATATAGATGTAGTAGAGAGGTGCTCGTGCAACGTGTGCACGTTGACATCGAATTGAGTGTTCGGTCCGTCGACCACTCATTCAGAGCAGTTTCAGTGGAGGAGGAGGAGGAGGAGGAGGAGGAGGAGGAGGAGTGGGGAGGAGGAGGAGGAGGAGGAGGAGGAGGAGGAGGAGGAGGAGGAGGAGAACGCCAGCCCCGCGATCTTAATTGTTTGACAGGCGTGCGCCACTCCGCCGACGCCCGTAACAGTGATTCGTCAAGAGTCGTGGCACCGTGCCCGTCCTGTGAGTCAGGGGCCTCGGGGATGCAAGTGAGGACGGGGGCCACGTCGCACTCATCGCCCAGGAGGGAAAGTTGAAGTTATTCTAGACTCATCGCGTAAACCCACCAGCCAGCCAGCTCTGGCCAGCCACGTTCTGTTTCTGCAAAGTAGCCTCGCCCGTGGCCCGGACGTTGCCATCGCCACATGACCGCTGTCTTCGTGGCCGCTGACCAAAAAGGTAACCCCACCAGCCCATCCAGGGACAGTGCCCAGAGGATTTGCCTCGATCAAGGAAGTGGGCAGCACGCAGATGAAGGGTGCTTCTTTGAGCGCTCTTGGGGCACTCTTGGGCGCTCTTGGGGCCGTCTTGGGGCTCTCTTGGGCCTCTCTTGCGTCTTGGGTGCCTCTGGGAACGTCTCGGGGAGCCTCTTGGGGGTCTCATGTCTGGCAACCATTGAAATGAAGGCGGACGCGATGCAGCAGTGTCGTGTCGGGCGGAGCTGAAGCGCCGCATAGGAGTTTGATTGAGTGTTTTGGCGTGCTTCTGTCGGGCGCGTTCCTGGCCATGCCGAGGTTGCGGGTGTTTGGGCCCTGGGCGAATTTTGTTGTGGGTTGCGCGGGTTGTCTAGAATTGGGTTGGCAGGATGTGCGAGGTGTCCCGGACACCATCTAACAGTAGAAAAGAAGCGTGGAGTTGTGCGAAGCAGAGGGAAACGGGGGGAGGACGACGAGGAGGCGACGAAGGGACGAATTCATGCGGATGAGGACCCGCGAGCAGGAGACATCACAGTAGGAGACGGTGGAGAAGTGGATGAGGAGGAGGAGGAGAAGGAGAAGGAATGCGACCAGAAAAGGTGGATGGGAAGGAGTACAGTTGAAGTGAAAAGAATGTGGGGCATGTCGCATCGTCATGGGATTTCTCGTGGCGACTGTCGGAGCTTCTACGACAGAGAGAGGAATTGAGAATACGAGGAACACGAACAGGTCAGAGCGTGAATTATCTACCCCGCTTTCGCTTCCAGACAAAACCAAGCCATACCACGCGCCTCCTCGTCAAGCGGCCTGACCAGTACAGGCTGCAATTTGGCATCGTTTGGTATCTCTTGGAAGCGAGGGTGGTCAAAAGCGAGGTAGGTTTGTTTTCCCCCTAACAGGACAAGCCAGAAGAGGAGACGGAGGAGAAGAGGGAGTAGAAAAGGAGGTGGGAGACGAGAATGACCAGGAGGACGTGCATGATAATGAGAATGATGAATCAGAGACGGGAGTGAAAAAGGACATTGACTATGAGGCGGATCAACCTACTGTAGAACAAACGCCTTTTAAGGCCTCTGGGGACGCCTTGGGGCCCTCTTGAAGGCCGCTTGGGTGCGCCTCGGTGGCCTCTGCGGTGCTCTTGGGCCCATCGTGGGGGGAGGGCTCGGAGTGTCAGCTCGTCTTCCCCTTCCTGGGCCCCCCGTGAAGGACTCTCGGGGCTTTCTTGGTCCGTCCTCGGGGCCCCTGGAGCCGCCTGGGGTCCAATCGGGGTCCTCGTGGGCCGCTTCGGAGCCATCTCCTCCGCCTCCTCCTCCTCCTCCTCCTCCTCCTCCTCCTCCTCCTCCCTCCCTCCTCCTCCTCCTCCTCCTCCTCCTCCTCCTCCCTCCTCCTCCTCCGCTCCTGCTCCTCCTCCTCCTCCTCCTCCTCCTCCTCCTCCTCCTCCTCCTCCTCCTCCTCCTGGCCCTCGGGCCGTCGTGGGCGCTGCGAGGACGAAAAGGGGGGAGGCTGGCGCCCCCCCAAAGACGTTGTCCGAGGGGGGCCTGGGGCGACGGCTGCTGCTTCTGGCCTTCTCGGCGGTCCTCGGGGCATCGCGAGGCTCACGTGGACGATCTTGGCGCTCTGTGTGGGCCCTCTTGGGCCGTCTCGGGGCTCTGGGGTTTTCCGGAGGCGCCTGGGATGCGTTTGGGAGCCCCCCCCCCCCGCGCGCAAAAGCCGCCACCCATCCCGAGATGGGTGAGAGAAGTAGGAACCCCTGAGTGCAAGCACCGTTTGGGGAATAACCAGTTGCGGATTGTTTTCCAATCCCAGGATTTTTTGAGGGTCGGGGACGACGTCGGGCGGTGTGGTGTATACTTTTTTATCCGTTTCCCAGGGGAACAACGAAACATGTATACACCAGGGTCCCGCATACACCAGGATCTGCTGTCCTGCACAAATTTCAGTGCAGGGCCAGATAACGCGTCGGTGTAGAGAGCTCGGATCTCTGACAAGATCCGCTCCCGAGGGTTCCGGGACGCGTCGGAGCGCATTGTGGAACGCTCTCTTGCGAAGGCCGCGGCGCCCGATGCGTCCTCCAAATTCCGCCGGATCTCGGAGATACGCTGCTTATGCACGCCCGGTTTTTTGTCTCCGGCTCCGTCTCTGGGCGTTGTCTCCGGGCCGAGGGATGGGGGCTGTGCAAAGGGAGGCCGGGGGAGGCAGGCGGCCCCGGGCGGCAGGAGGAGGGGGCCATGGAGGATCGGGGGCGGAAAAGAGGGGGGTGATGACTAGGGGGGGTGGATATCATGGCGGGGGCCATGATATTTCCCCAGATTTCATGGCGCCTCCTCTTATTTCATTACGTCCCTGGCCCCCCCGCTGGGCCGCGCACATGCCGCCGGTCATGATTTGCATCCCCCCCCTCTGGGAGACCCCCCTCTTTGCCGCCCCCGAGAGGAGGGGGGCCAGCGTAAGCCCAGGACGCGTCAACGAAGTAACTTGTCTTTACTGCGGGAGGTATCCAATTGGAGGTCAACCGTTTGAGAATCTTCGAGTCGTGCCAAGCACACTCCTTGGGCCTTCGGCGCCGTGGATCAGCGTGAGCGCCGCGTCCTGGCAAGCCCCAAGTCGTACCAGGGCCCCTTTCCCGGGACCGAAACGCCGCGACTCAACGAGACTTTTGCGTCCTGACAGTCCTACATCGTGCCACAAAATCGTTCCTGAAATTTCAACCATACATAGGAACCTTGAAAAACTGCTGCAATCTTTTAGAACGGCTGTGCGCGGCGCTGAAAAGCGACATCCACGTTTTGAGAAAGGCCCGCCCTTCATCCTTGAACGTGCTACGAGCTTTCCTGACGCATGCGCGCGGCGCCGAAGCGAGAGTCACATTTTGAAAACCACCCGACCTCCATTCTTGAAATTGTTGTACATGTCGTGCTTCAGGGTCGTACATGGTTAGGGAGTCTCAGTCGACACGCTCGACCCGCCCTACCTACGCGTCTGGGGGTGCGACAGGGAGGAGCTAATCATAAGGAACACGGATGGAGGAGGAAGAGGAGCAATAACAGGGCGCGGGGCAGGAGAAGGAGGAGGGGGAGGAGCTGGAAAATTGCCACGGTCAACGTCGGGTGACCCGGCTGAAGGGAGCTGCGAGGAGGCATGACCAGGGGGAGAAGCTCCAGGACGGAGCAGGATGAGCAGCAGGAGGGGGAGGAGGAGGAGGAGGAGGAGGAGGAGGAGGAGGAGGAGAGGAGGAGGAGGGGAGGAGGAGGAGGAGGAGGAGGAAGTGGAGGTGGAGGAGGAGGAGGAGGAGGAAGGAGGAGGGAGGAGGAGGAGGAGGAGGAGGAGCAGGAGGAGGAGGAGAAAGAACAGCAGGAGGAGGAGGAGGAGGAGGAGCAGGAGGAGGAGCAGCAGGAGGGGGAGGAGCTGCAGGGACGGGCAGCAGCGGCGGCAGCGCCAGGGAGCTGGGGGAAGGCACCGCCCGAGAGGCCTCCACCGCGGCCTCGCCGGGCGCCTCCCCGAGACACCTCGGCCAAGGCGGGGCCGTGCCTCTCTCTGTCTCTATCTCTCTCTCTCTCTTTCTCTTTGTTATTTTGTTTCTCTCTCCTCCTCCTCTTCCTCCTCCTCCTCCTCCTCCTCCTCCTCCTCCGTAGCCATTTTGGCTCAAGATGCCTTGTTCCGCAGGGGAACACGTGGATATCGCTAGTCCGCGGCTAGCTTTCGAGTGCTTTCAGGCCCGATCAGTCTGCCCTGGTCGGCGCCTCCAGTCCGTGTTTGTGAGCTCCTGCTGGAGCAACTTCCCCTTGTCTGCCAGGCGTCGCGAGCGATGGCTTGGCGGTCGCGTACCCCGTGGAGTGCTGCCGCTGGCCGTGATCGGCGTGCTGGTGGTGATCGCGGCGGCGGCAGTGGAGGCCGCCAGCGCCGCGGTGGAGGTGCCTACTCTGTGTGTGCATCATGCGGCCACTGGGAGTACGATCGCTACGGCAATTGGTGCTGCTCAAAGTGCGGGGGCAGCTACCAGGCGGAGGGCTCCACCCGCGTGGCAGGCCGCAGCGCCCAGGCCGGGGCTGGGCAGGAGGCGGACCTCGCCCAGCAGCTCAGCGCCCTGGCTGCCCTGCACCCCGCCATGGCCGCAACGCTGCAGGCCGCCAGTGCTGAAGCGGCTGCAGTTGGTGCTCATGCAACTGAGGCGCCAGTACCTGTCAGTGCGAACGATTTGGAGAAGAAGGTGGCGGCGCGCCAGACCGAGCTCTCCAAGGAGGTCGAGAAGGCGGCGCGGGCAGAGCGGATTGCCCAGACCGACGTGGAGGCCCGCCTGGCAGCCGTTGTCAAGTATCGTGAAGCCCTTCAGCAAGCAGAGGCGGCCCACGCTTCAGCTGTGGAGGGGATGGCCCTTTGCCAACAGGAGACCAAGGCTGCGCAGGGGGCCAAGCAGCTGTTTTCTCCCGATGCCTACCGTGAAGAGCGCAGGCGAGAGGAGCGTCGCTTGGCCGAGGCCGCGGCCGCAGCAAGGCGTCGCGCTGCGGCGGTGGCAGCTGCTGGAGCGGCGACACCTGGTGGCGGGAGTGCCCATCGTGCGGAGCCTGGGCCTTAGCCTCCAGCGCAGGTATCTGTACATGCTGCAGGGGGTGATGCTCGCGGCGGTGCTGCTGGCCAAGGTTCGTTGCCGCAGCCGCCGCCCAATTTCACCGCCATGGAGGAGCCTGAACTTCGTGCGCGGTGCCAACTTCATGATCAACAGTACCGTTTCTGGCAAGCGGCACAGCAGATGCGCGTCGCCCTTGAGCGCGATGATGATGAGATGTCGGATGATGCTTCTGATGTGGGTGCCGATCGTCTCGACGAGCTACGTGAACTCAAGAAACGTGCCATCGAGCAGCCCTTGCAGGAGGTTGAGCGCGATCGACTTGAAGAGCTGTTGTGCAAGCAAGCTAACCAGAAGTCGGCCATGCGTGCTCGCGTGGCACGATCGGACTTCAAGGCCTCATTCAACCGCATGCTGCAGCAGCTCCAGCCACGAGTGGGAGCCGTTCCTGGTGGAGGACATGGGCCTGCAGTCGTGGGAGAACCAAGTGGTGCACGTGGGCATGCTGCAGCAGGAGCTGTACCAGGTGGAGGCGCGGGAGCTGCAGGCGCTGGCGACGCGGGTGAACGAGCGCAGTCTTCCTAGCCCTGGGCACGCTGAAGGAGAAGGTGCTGAGGGCGGCGTGAGGCCTAGCAGGCCCCTGGGTCGCCATTGCTTGCAGCCAGCGCCAAGCACTGTTGAGTTTCCGTTCTGTATTATCACGAGTTGGAATGCGGTTTCGCTCTCCTTTGCCCAGGCAGTGAAGCCAATCTGTGATGGTTTTTTCATTTGCGAGCATCGAATGCTCGCCGATGCTTGCAAGCTCGCCAAACGGAAGTGCAATCAGGTGAAGTGGGGGCCCCGCTTCACCCCCGCCACGCGATCCCCTGGGCGGGGGCCTTCATCATGGGGAGTCGGGGCCGTCGTTAGTAGAGGACTTTGTTTTCGGCGTTCCCTGTCTTCGGATTCGTCCCTCATTGGCCGGGGCTCTGGGAGCCGCTGGCTTTTTCTGCAGCTCAAAACCAAGCAAGCTGGTCTTGCTGTAGGTGTTTGCCACCTAGATGACGGCCTGGGTGTAAGTGGGGTGAATATGGATCGGTTACGTGAGATCGCTGAGTTAGTGGGCACCCTGACTACCCCTTGGATCCTTATGGGCGACTATAACATCCCGATCACCGATCTGGGCTTGAGTGGTTTTCCTAAGCTGCCCCATGCTCGCGCTATTCCACTTGAAGGAACCGAGTTCACTTGTTGCCAAGGGAGGGGATCATTGATAGATTATGTCGTGGCCTCGGAGGACATTGCTGATTACTTGAGTGTTACTGAACATGACCCCTCCCCTTTCAAGGCGCACGCTTGCCTAGCGGTGTCTCTGGCTCGTACAGTGGTCGAGCAAGAGCTGTGGCCGCGTCGGCGTGCACGTTCGTTTCCACCCTGATATGGGCCTGATCTACCCTGGTCCCAGCATCTGGAGCAGGTGGCTGAGCATGATCTTTCTCCCCCTCATATTCTGGCTGACAAGTTGCTGCCGCGCGTGACTGGCAATTTGTCGACTGGCCTCTCCCTGCAGTACTCGATTTGGAGCAAGGCCACTGAGAATATGTATTTGTCCAGGGCCGCTGCGCGGGAGTTTGCCCCTCCTGAAGGTTCTAGAGGAGCGCGCCCTACCTTCAGCAAAGGAAAAGTTGGTCGACGATGGGGTTCCTGGAGAAAGCTTTCGGCAACCGCGCCTGTGTTTCTGGGCCCATGTTTCGCAAAAAGTTTGTGAACATCGCTTGTCTATTGCTAAACGTTCGTGGACGTCGGTTAACATCCTCAGGGGCATCCTAGCTGGCCTTGTTCCTCGGGCCGCTGGATTTCATGTAGCAGGAGATGTTCGTGCCCCTGATTGGCGGCGGGCTCATTTGTCTAGCCTGCCCCAGGGTCTGGATGATCTGAATAATCTGACGGGTGCGATCAGCGCCACCTTGATTAAGGCTTGGAGCGCTGCTCGCGCGGGAACTAAGGCTGGCGTGAAGCAGCGGCCCCTCAAGGTGCTGCCGCGAGGCGCTATGCGCGTTCACTCGTGGCTTCGGCGCGACCAAGGTGCAGATCTTGAAGTTATAGTAGCACCAGCTGAGGTGCATCAGCTTCCTGAGGAGATGATGAAATACCGCGAGGGCGTTTGGGGTAAATTCTGGAATGGTAAAGGGGACCAGCGGGAGCAGCTTTCAGGAGTTTTGGATGTCCTCATGCCTTTAGCTCTGGAGGCCTTGGAGGATCTCGAACCTCTGGAACCTTGCGATGTTCAGAGAGCTGCTCGGCTGTTCCGCGAGGATACGGCCGTTGGCGTGGACCAGCGGCCCCCATCGACTCCTGGTTTCCCTTCCGTCTGAGGCGGTGCGGGCCTACACCCACCTCCTTAATAGTTGCGAGCGTCGGCTCATGTGGCCAACGCAAAGTATGGCGGGCATTCTTGCTCTGTTGCCCAAGTCTGCTGAGAGCGAAAGACCTGTTTGCAAGTGTCCTACTTTGTACCGAGTCTATTGCAAAGCTCGAGGAAGCTATGTTGAGGAGTGGCTCCTTGCCCAGGTCAACCATTGGGACGCTGCGATTAGAGTGTCGTCGGCCCTGCAGGCTGCGCTTCGCCGAGAGCTTGGCCACGAGATGGCCAGATATCTGGGGTTGTGCTCGGTCGGAGCGCATTGGGACCTTAAGAAGTTTTCGACGCGGTCGACCCTTGTCGCCTTGCTGGACTCGCGGTGAAGATGCGCTACCCCCTTTTCCTCCTGTGTTTGGGGATTGTGCTGCATGAAGCTCCTCGAATCCTCGAGGTCCCGGGTTTCAGTTTCCCCACTGGAATGGGCATCTTGCCTGGTTGTGGCCAACCCATGCCGTGGATCAAAATATAGTTGAATGATATACTAGATCAGGCCCACGCGTCCTTCTTGCCTGTCCGCACCAGGGGATACGTGGACGATATTACTCAGACGCAGCAAGGTTCCCGCGAAGAGGTCCTCGCCGCTTTCGCGCCTGCTGCGTTGCACCTGTGCCGCGGGCTGGAGGCCGCAGGCGCATTCATTGCTGACACAGGTACCCCGTTGGTATCCCACAGAGCTCGGAGCCGAGATCATGCGGATGTTCTCTGCAGTCAACCTACATACTCAGTGCAGAGACTCGGTTCGAGATCTGGGGGCCATGTCTTCTGCAGGGATTCGCCGAAATATGAGTAACTTGCGACAGCGGCGGGCCATCGCCTATCGGAGAAGTCGGAAGGTGCAGTTTTTAACGCGGCTGGTTGGCCGCACGTGCAAGCTGTATAAACTTGGGGTCCTGGCCGTGGGGTCGTGGGGACATGAGGTCCGTGGGTTGTCTCCTGGGCAAGTTAAGCCCATGCGTGCTCAGGCTGCCACGTGTTCTGGGTCGTGGGCCCCAGGTGCCTGCACCGCCACCTTGCTTGGCTTACTTGGGGATGCGAAGGGTGACCACCAGTTTAGGCTTCGCTATGAACAGCTTAATGGTTGGGCTTTATCTCGGGTGGGTCTTGATCATAAATCGCGCAGATTGCGTTCTGAAGCTTGGAAGAAGGTATTCACTAAGGTGGATCGGACCAAGTACCGTTGGCAGATAGTTAAAGGGCCGATGGCGGCCACCATTGTTGTGCTGCGCGATCTAGGCTGGCAGGCAGAGTCACCAGTGCATTGGCGCACCGAGGATTCGGTTTTGAGGCTGAATGATGGTGATTTCCCCTTCCAGCTTTGGGGTGCCCTGTTGAGGACGTGTTCTGCGGTGTCCTGGGGCCAAGTTTCCAAGCATTTTTGCGGCGCGGGCCTGGAGAGAGGATTTGATTTCACCCCTGTGCGTAGATTTCTGGCCAAGCTTGCCCGAGATGGTGAGCACGAGGCGGTGGGCATACTGCGTAATGTGCGCATTGCCGCGCCTTGGCTTGAAGAGCGATTGCATGCTGCTGGGTACGTTTCCGACAGTAATGGGC